GGGCGTTATAATGTGACTGTCAATCCCACTTCTGACACCAATTTGTTACGCCTCCAGTCGTTAATTAATTTCCCGTAACTTCTTTCCGACTAAACTTTAGCGACTAAACTTTAGTCCTTTCTTAATAAAACTGGTTTACTCTTTCTGAATATAACTTTATCGATACACTTATTTTCAACAGTCGCTCTATAACAACGAACAATACTTTCTGACTGCAGTTCAATTACTCACTACCTACACACATTGTCCCGTCACGTTGTGAGCGTCTTATATATATACCAGACTAACATATATCTAGTAAATGCTAGGGCATTCACAAAAGAACAGGATATTTCCACTAGTCACGTGACCTCGCTGACACAACAGATCAAATAGGAGTAGCCCAAAAGTTTTTGATGGGTGATATTGACTAACTGCCTTCCCTCTAGGATATTAGTTCATATTTAGGAACTCGTTAACGCAGATAGATCTTTTGTGGTTTTGATGGTGATGTTGACTAACTGCCTTTCCTCTACGATAATAATAAATAATAATCCCTGTAGACTCCCACTGGAGCATAGGGCCCCAACAACACCTCGCCGACGGTAGTTGTTGTTGCAATAATTTTTTAGCAGGTTGGTTTTTACGGGGCGGAGTTGCTAGCCCGGCGCCCAACCCTGTTCCTTTCTCATCCTACTATAGCATGAACTTTCTAACCAGCTGCCTATATGAAAAGGGAAAGATGGATAAGTTAATTGGTTTATTAAAAGCAAAGCTACTAAGTTCTTAATTTTCAACTGATAACAACAGGGAATGTAATTGGCCGGCTGTACCCACCACTAACTCTTAGTTACTCTTTACTAAATATGAGTGAATTGGTTTATTTATTTATTTGTGTTTATTTATGGTACTAAGTTCCTAATTTTTAACTGCTAACAACAGGGAATGTAATTGGCCGGCTGTACCCACCACTAACTCTTAGTTACTCTTTACTAAAAATGAGTGAATTGGTTTATTTATTTGTGTTCGTTTATGGCAAAACTAGTTACCCTATCTGCCGCCTTTCCTAATGTTCAACTGCTAATCACCGGAAAGGCGATCGGCCGGCTGCACTAACTCTATTTGAAATTCCAGAAATAATGGTTAAATCAACCCTCTAAAATTTTGAATTAAACAAGGGTATTTTGACAAAATATTTTTTAATTCATTTTTTTTTTCAAAATAAATGTGAATGTGAATCATTCAGTGATTCCCATTTTTTTTTCTGCAAAGATACCAATACTAACAAAAACTGGATTGTGTCTGGATTTCAGATACACCTATCTGCGATCCCCAACAAAGATCTGTTTACCGGACGGGAATAAATGAACCAGTTCAAGTTATTTGCAAGTTAAAAAGCGATCCTACAAATGTCACGTTCAGCTGGGTTTTTAACAACAGCTACGACAACTACGAGGTTTTTTCCTTCACATCACAAGGAACAACAACAAGCACGGCAACATTTACTCCTAAGTCAAAATACGAGTTTGGAACGTTAATTTGTTTTGGAACTAACAATGTTGGTATGCAGAAAAAACCGTGTACTTTTTCCGTTATACCGGCAGGTAAGTACAACTCGCTAAACTCGAGTTCAAAGCTATTAACTCACTTATGGCATTCGTAAAGAATTGAAATATTTCGCCTTTAGATATAACCAGCTATTTCTACGTCTCGTGCTGCCCCTAGTTCTACTTCATTCATTATCGCCCAAGCTCAGTTTCATGGTCATATTTACTCGTTATTACGCGACTTTGCAGTTTTAATTGTAAACAAATTTCTGCGGAAGATTACAGTCGTAGAACACACATGTTAACCGACGTTTCACAATCCCTCCACCGTACGTAGGCGTCAATATCTAAGACCAATATAAGCAAACAAAATTCACAAAACCACATTGAAGATGCATTGAAAACTTATTCCAAATAGGTTCCAGTTGAATTATTATAATTCCATCTTCTTCAGCTGTTATGAAGTTAGGTGTAAGGGACATCGGTTTGAGATGGGAGACAATTGAGAAAACAGCTGGCTTCTATAGGATTACAATACATTAACTCGCTAGAAATGCTGCCATTGAGAAATAAAACCCAATTCTAAATCTATATGCTGTTGATTTTAATAATAATTAATCAAGTTTGTTATGTATTCATTGGTATGAGGCAATTCATGAGAAGAATAAGTACGATCTAAATAAACTTGATTAAGGCAAACAATATATAAGAAAAAGAACTTCGACACATTGCAATGAAGTTGGGCCTATTTCCCATATACAAGCATCTGAAGATAACGAAGGCTTACAACTCAAAAGTACACGATTTACCAGATATACTAAGAAATAAACGGATTTTTTCAAGAGAATGATGGTCTATATTCTACATCGTTTTGACATAATCTTGTTACCATAGCGCTGATTCTCCTATATTCTTTTTGTGGATGGTTGCGTTACTCTGGATTGTCTTAGCGTATGACTTTGATGATTGTTGCTGTCCTATGTCCTCTGTGGGCGCGTTTTCCGCTTTCTCAGTGCATTGGAAACTTCTTTCTTCGCAATGCTAAATCTTATAGCTTTGTGACATCTAAAAAAATCGTGCGGATATATGTTCATCCAACCATAAGCTTACCTTTTCGACTTGGAATTGAATTAAATATATCGCTGTTATACATATGGTTCGTGGTACCAGGGCACGCATATGAACTCGTTTTTGCCAATTATAATCAATCCTTTATAGTCATAAGTGTTTATATATATATATTCGATAAGGTTGAATTAAAGATAGTACACTTTACATGATAGAATCGATATCTTCAAGTAAATTTTTATTAAATCAACATTTTTCTTTTCGAATTTTGAAACTATTATTTTACGTTTGACCTTGATCCCAATAGAAAAATGAGCCAGGAGTCATATATCCTATCAATCTATAGTTATTTCGTTGTCAATCTGGTAAGAAATTCGCCATCTTTTTAATTAATGGCAACACTTTTAGGTCTTGTCACTCACTGCTTTATCATATCGTTTAGGTATTAAACTTACTTATGTATCTGCTTCAAAATTATATAAGTGTCATACTCTACAGGACTTCTCCCATCTATAGATCCTGTCCTCTTCAGCATACTTTCAGTGAAACTGGAGTCACAACAACTGAACTACTTTTATAGAATGTTTGAGCCAAAAAAACATATTATTGTTGACAGATATATTTTTAATCATTTAGTTTCATGTAGAAAGCAGTCATGGTTAATCTAATACACCCTGTAAAGGTAAATATATTTATTACGGATTAGCATTTCTGAATTGTGTAATTCCGTATAATAAAACAAACTGTGCGATATATGAATACTATATTGAACGCACATTTCAACGTGATGAAAACGCTTCCCATAACTTGCATCACGTTATTATGATGATTTTCACGTGAAATCGCACGAATGAAAAATGTGAAAATGAAAAGTCAATTTTTTCGAGATATACCATTGTTTGAAACATAAACGTTACTGTTTCACATATAGAGCTCAATTCTCATTACATTTTAAATTAACCACAAAATTACAACTGTTGATACTGTTGACTTTAGTATAGCAGTATTTTCTGTTTCATTTACTTAATGTTTTACATCAAATGACTTTGTTAGAATCACAACCGAACCAAAAATAAAATTCCTTTTACAAACCAAACATTTAATGTTTAGAAAAAGAAATAAAGGGATTCTATAAGACTTTTATTTAAATTCAGATTTATTACTTAAGTTAGTTTTAAATGAAATGCATATAATGCACTCTATTTAATAATAACACTGGTCATCTTTTATTTGAAGGAATACCTGATCCGGTTCACAACTGCTCTCTCTTTAATCAGACAGACGATGGTATAGGAGTGGAATGTATTAAAGGCGACCATGGAGGATTGCAACAGTTATTTTACGCTGAAATTGAAGAACTTAGTGGAAGAAGAACAATTTTAAACATGTCATCATCTAGTCCGGCATTTTATATAAAAAATCTTCCACCAGGTTCAACGTTCATTTTTAAAGTTTATTCATTTAACATGGAAGGAAGAAGTGAACCAGTATTTTTCCGAGGTAACACTCTAGATGCTCGTCAAAGTTCCTCTAAAGGCGGTAAGTTATTTCTGAACTCTAAAATGCACGGGTGTGCACTCGTTTCGAATCCTTGCTTTAAAGAATAAGCGTTGTTTTGAAAGTTCTAATATCACAATTTACATTGATTTGTATGGTAAACACATTTTTATAGGCTTTGTATGATCCATAATAGAGTAAACACATTTTTATAGGCTTTGTATGCCTATAAAAATGTGTTTACTATTTTATGGATCATACAAAGCCTATAAAAATGTGTTTACTATTTTATGAATCATACAAAGCCTAAAAAATGTGTTTACCATTTTATGGATCATACAAAGCCTATAAAAATGTGTTTACCATTTTATGGATCATACAAAGCCTATAAAAATGTGTTTACCATTTTATGGATCATACAAAGCCTATAAAAATGTGTTTACCATTTTATGGAACGTACAAAGCCTACAAAGATGTGTTTACTATTTTATGGATCATACAAAGCCTATAAAAATGTGTTTACCATTTTATGGAAATTCATATTAGTTATTCAAGGAGTCTCTAAATACTTATTCATAACCAAGATTATCAGGTTTATCTTAACCACTTATTGATGAACTGTTAAGAGTTCTCAGATGAATAAACTAACACTACATCACTATCTTCCTTATTTTATTCTGCCCGCAGTGTCTCAACTTTTACATCATTCCTAGTTTAATACAAAAAAACTTAAAATATCTAATGTGAAATATGTGTAATTAGAATTAATGATACAAGAGCCATGACTGTATAGTACCTTTCAAGTACCTGAAAAATACTTGAGTACTTTTTATAAACATTTTATAATCATACGTAAGTCTCAAAGACGTTTTTCAAATCTCCTAACACTCATTCTATGGATCATACAAAGCCTATAAAAATGTGTTTACCATTTTATGGATCATACAAAGGGTTGTTAAAATTAAGGAAGTCATTCCAGTTAACAATAATCCAGATCCCTGATAGAATTTGGTTATGAATAAGTATTTAGATACTTCCTGCCTAACTAATATGAATGGTTGTTAAAATTAAGGAAGTCATTCCAGTTAACAATAATCCAAAGAACTGTTTTACCATCATTCGATATTTTAGATCAGTTTTTGAAAGTTTATAGGAAAGGAGCAACGTGTCTGATTTCGTTTTGTTGAGTAACTTAAGTGATAATGCTTCTATTGATGGACAATGTTATAACTAATCTAGCTGTGATTGTCCCACATATCCATACGTATATATATACACACAAATGGAATCGTATTAACTTAAGTACAAGTTGCTTTAACAGCTTTACATTCTTGTAATTTCGTATAATATTCGTAGCGCAAAATTTGCGCACTGAATTTCTTTTATCGCACTTAATTCCCCATAAAAATTAAATTACAAATTGTGTTCTTTTGAATTTAACAATTTTTGTGCTCTATGCCGTTCTTTTTTATCTCTATTTACATAACGCAAGAAAGGCTTAGTTGTTATTGTCTGCATAAGAATGTTAATGAATTTTTTGTTAAAAAGAAAATAACATTTATTTCTCTATGTTAATCCGAAAACAAAATCATAATATAGAGTAAGAATGTATCAGCGCGTTATTATACTATTTGTAAAAATAGTAAACGCATCTGCTAATGGGAAAAAAAATTATTGGGTCTATTGTGGCTGTGCTGAAATGGTTTGTAAATTTATTTCGGGTATGCGCTGAATCGCGTTATATAAATCTAACATGCGAGTGTTTCCTCTGGTGTTCAAATATGTCTCATAATGACAACATTCAGAAGCCTACAACGAAACATATTAAATAATCCGTGTCATTCCTTAGGAATATGGTAGCATTTGAGTGGAAGATTATTACAAATGGTAATGCAGTATACATAACAAATGAAGCCATGCAAAAACTATTTTTAATTAAATGATAGATGTTTAAATTTTTCATTTGATGATCTAAAAATATATATTATGAAATATATTTTAATACCTTCATTTGATTAACTTGCTAATGATAAATAGTAATTCATTAGCATGCTAATTCATTAGCTGTAATGAATATTACCTTTGAAGTGCTTTAATTCACTCAATGTTTATAATTATATTTTCACAGCAACGAACTGGATATTTTCTGTCAATGTTCTCGTGATACCGCTCGTATCTATCTCTGCGGTGTTGATCTTCATAACTGGTTGTGCAGTGTTTGTTTTAAAAATAAGACTCGTTAGATCAAGAGGTACGGATATTGCTTGTTAGATTTTTTGTGTGTTTGTAATGAGAAAAATAACGTCCTTACGTATTCGTCTATCTATTTATCAGATCCTTCCAATGTCCTAACACTTACTTCGTCATCGAGTTTCTTTAATTTTATGTCGACAGATCAAACTAAAATAATTTGATTATACTGATTATATTTGATTGATCAGTTCCTTCATCAAATTCGTTGCATCATTTTCGTTGCATTTTTACCGTTTATTGTTTGGATATTTTGTTATTATTTTTTAAGGCATCCTAACATAAATTGAAAGAAGTTTTCTGTTGGTGGTTTTATTATATTCCAAATTAGTAAAAATATGTTTATATTAAATAGAGAGGTGGAACATAGGCAAAAATATTACCTATAGTGTTTTTGGACAATACAGTAATCGACAATTTTCTTTTACTGACAATGGGTGTACTGCAACGTGGGACGGATATAACATTTGTTATTTTACAAAACAATATATTACCACAAAATGACAATACAATATATTACCACAAAATGGCAATACAATATATTACCACAAAATGGCAATACAATATATTACCACAAAATGACAAAACAATATATTACCATAAAATGACAAAACAATATATTACCACAAAATGACAAAACAATATATTACCACAAAATGACAATACAATATATTACCACAAAATGACAATACAATATATTACCACAAAATGACAATACAATATATTACCACAAAACGACAATACAATATATTACCACAAAATGACAATACAATATATTACCACAAAATGACAATACAATGTATTACCACAAAATGACAATACAATATATTACCACAAAATGACAAAACAATGTATTACCACAAAATGACAAAACAATATATTACCACAAAATGACAAAACAATATATTACCACAAAATGACAATACAATATATTACCACAAAATGACAAAACAATATATTACCACAAAATGACAATACAATGCAGAAATATAGATTTATGTCACACACATATAAAACGACAGATGACATGTATAGGTAATCCGACATATACCGTGCCTTTCACTGTGTATAAAAAATACTCGGCCTGTATATGCTTGAGACGCGTTTAATGGTAAAATGAAGTAACGTATATCCTATTTGGTTGTGTAAATTTTTATTTCATTGGTAAAAAATAATAAAATGAACAATTTCAACATGTATATATCGAATTAATTAGACTATTAAATAAATATACTGTAAATATTTGATTACAACGGTATTACAACACAAATTAAGTATGGGGGCAGAAGGTTGAAAAGCACATGGTATAACAAAAATTTTAAATAACATCATACGTTATTATTTCCAGATGAAAGAGGAACAGCTGACAATAAAATGTAAGTATGCTATTGTAATATATTTTTTTAAATATTTAATTAATTAAAACATATTATTTTTAAAATAATAAGAAGACTAAAGTTAGGTGGTTACAATAAATATAATTGAATAATGTAAAAACACACAGTACGCCCTATCATTATAAATACATTAAGTTGATGCACTAATAACACATCGTAAATTGCAAGTCATTTGTTGCTTCAGAATTTAACAAGTAGAGTATATTAGCTTTACAGTAATTAATGCATAAGGTAATATGTTTTTGTTCCTGTGTTTTCTTTTTTGTGTGTGCTTTGCTTCAATAAATAGTAGTCTTAGCTTTATTATTTACTTCGTCCTGATTCATAATTTTGGGTTGTAGGATGCGCTCTCGGAAAACTTTCTGTCTGATTTTAGCAGAAAGATGTTAGATTTTTATACGCTACAGTATATCTATTTTAGCAGAAAGATGTTAGATTTTTATACGCAAAAACTTTCTGTCTGATTTCAGCAGAAAGATGTTAGATTTTTATACGCTACAGTATATCTACCGAGAGCGCTAGATATACTGTAGCGTATAAAAATCTAACATCTTTCTGCTAAAATAGATATACTGTAGCGTATAAAAATCTAACATCTTTCTGCTAAAATCAGACAGAAAGTTTTTCCGAGAGCGCAATGAAACATCGTTAGTATTAGGAAAAGTATGAGTGATTCGCCCAAAAGCTACGCAAGGGTTAACTGCGTATAAAAATCTAACATCTTTCTGCTAAAATAGATATACTGTAGCGTATAAAAATCTAACATCTTTCTGCTAAAATAGATATACTGTAGCGTATAAAAATCTAACATCTTTCTGCTAAAATCAGACATACTGTAGCGTATAAAAATCTAACATCTTT